AATGCTGTTGTAGACCTGTATAGCATACACCCCAGACTAGAGAAAATAAAAGAGAGATAAGACGAAGAATTGAGCCCGCAAATGAGCAAACAATGGTCCCAGAGACTACAAAAATGCGCCAAAAGTGGTTTTGTAGTCTCACATACAACCTGACTTCCAATCGGAGTTTCAAAAATGTAGTCTGCAATACAAAACATGACTCCCACGACTTCTCGGCACAAACTGTTCTCACGGGGTACAACGTTCGGCACGCAGGCATATTTTGCGCGTAAGGACTCAACCTTTGTACCTCAGGACTTGTAACTGTAGGAAAACCCATGTATTCCTTAGTTCAACCTCCTGTTGAATACAGCGATTACCTGGACTCCTGACTTGACTGTTGGCATTGGCCCAGCCAGACCTACCTTTCAGTATGCTTACTGAGGTAATGACGACATAACTGTTGGCACGAGGCCCAGTTATCTCAAGACAACTAGTTAGGACATTGCTTCCTAACATTAGGTTGAGCTCTTCTACGACACCTGCTGACTTCTTCAAGCCTAGGCAATCCCTCCTCTACTCTTGATCATCCTCGTTGGACTCCCTAGTGGAATCCCGTCCCTCGAACCAGAAACCATGACAAACCCATTTGATCCTGCAACCCAGGCAACTGGAGACAACAATGTCGCACCAGTTGTCCAAGCACGACTGACCGAAATCAAGATACGTCTCCCAGATGACTTCAATGGAGACAGGAAGAAGACCCGAACATTCTACCTTGCCACTCAACTATACATGATGGCAAACAAGCACATCTACGACACCGACGAGAAGAAGATCACATTCTTCATCTCCTTCTTGAAAGAAGGAACTGCTGGCCCATGGGCTGAGGCAGAGATGACAAAGGCATTCACCAATGACCAAGGATTTGGCACATGGGAAGCCTTCACGACATGATTCCTGAACGCCTTCACCGAGGCAGACACTGCTGGATATGCGAGAACCAAGTTGCACATATTGCGCCAGACGGCCACTGTAGACAAATACATTGCAGAGTTCCGCATGTTGACCGCACGATGCAGAATCACTGAAGACGTATCCCTGATTGAGTACTTCCAAAAGAGACTCCAGAACAAGCTAGTCAAGAAGGTCTATGGCATGGAGCGCTTGCCTAAGACAATCGAAGAATGGTATGAAGCCACATCCCGATTTGACAATCAGTATCAACGGGCGAGAGTGGTCATCAACCGATACAAGGGAGTTGGCCAGACCAGAAACTTCATCACCCCGAAGTTCACTCGTCCCTCTAAGGACCCCAATGCCATGGACGTCGATTGCCTATCAACCAGTGAAAGGGAGAAATACATGAAGGAAGGGCGATGCTTCACCTGTGGTCAGACTGGCCACAGGGCTGCCGATCACAAGCAGGACAAGGGAAAGCAACCAGAGAGGCGACCCATCCGGACTACAGAGGTCAAAGAAGACCCATACAAAGGAACCTCCAGTGTTGCCAAGATCAAAGCAATGATGGCAGAACTAGAAGAGAATGACAAGATCAAACTTCTTGAGGAAATGGCGGAGAAGGATTTTGCCTAAGACGACCTGCATCAGCGTCAGGCTCGTCTCATTCTTACCTTTCTACTGTAACCATAGCAAAGACTGTTGACCAGTCAATGAAGATCAATATTTTGCTATCACGTGGAAAGGGAAGCGCTGAAACAACTGCAGAAGCCCTTATTGATTCAGGGGCTGGAGGAATCTTCATCAACCAGCATTCAGAATAATGACAAGGAGGATTGCCCTGATATCTATGCCTTGACGAAGGCAATCGTTGATGCTCAGTGCACTATAACTCCGGCTGTGTGCGCACGTGTAGCTCTTATGGTAAGTTTCATGTCACGGCTGTGGACGCGAAGCACTATGTTCTCAATGCACTACTTAACAGAGGAAAGTGTATGCTACGAAGGGCAAGGATGATGAACATAATTATTGGAGCCATGTCAACCGCATGCTAGCCATTATACGTGAGGAGGCAAAGTGCCTAGGGGAAGACGATCCGCAGAAAATTCAACGTAAGCTGGCCAAGTAAGTCACTAATCCTCGCAGTCCGAGAAGTTGTCCTGACCGGTGATAAGCCTCAGGATCGTCTGACTCCCGAAAACGCGGACTCAGCACATCGTACAAG